CCAGAAGGAACTCATTAGCATAATAGGCCACACCCAACTGCAGAAACTCATTAGGATTGGCTACATTAGGGGCGTGTGGCCTAACATGCAAAGGAGTTCCTGCTATAAAAAAGGCCCTGGGGTTGGGGAGTTAATTCTGTGTCTTGTTAATTATTACTGCATTCCTATCCCTGCTGCTTCGCCTTTTGCTGAAACGCTTATCTCTACAGACGTGCAGGAGGAGGTTGTGTTGTCTGGAGGGCTCTTATGTACCGTGAGAGACTCCTGGTTCTCAGCTCTAGCCACCTAACGGTTGCCTGACTTATCCCGCGCACGGGAGGGTCCCTAATTGGCCAATGCCCTGGGAGGGTTCTTATGAATACCCTATTCAGGGCTCTTTTTCTAGAAAAAGCCCAGCAGGAACTCATTAGCATAATAGGCCACACCCAACAGCAGAAACTCATTAGCATATTAGGCCACACCCATGACAGCACAGCTCATTGGCATATTAGGCCACACCCCCATGTTACCAGAAGTGTGCTCATCCAGCCACACCCGCCTTTTGCTTGTTATTCTGTTTACCTTGTTTGTTGTCAAAACCCAGGGCCTTTTTTTTGTAGCAGGAACTCCTTTGCATGTTAGGCCACACACCCCTAATGTAGCCAATCCTAATGAGTTTCTGCTGTTGGGTGTGGCCTATTATGCTAATGAGTTCCTGCTGGGCGTGGCCAACTTAGGAGCCAGCCGGAACTCCGTTCCTGTGCGTTCCTGCCCCAAAATAATCCTGATTGTACATATGAATTGTACGGATTTTGCTGAAGTGGATTACATTGCTACTAATCATTGATTTATGCTTACTATAAAGTGCTAAGGAAAATGCATAAAACAGAAGATCCAGAGCTGAGACAGCAGGAGATTTATAGTTCACAAATGATCACTTTTTGCCATGACCAGCCATTTGGTATTGCAGCACTTTGGCCGTTTGTGTGTGTGTCCCTGAGTGGGTTATAGAATCTAAATAAATGAATCATTAATTGGAGGAAAAAAATCACAATGATGGTGGCATGAAACCCAAATCTTTGCATTCAGACTTAGAGCCCTGTGACATTTTGGCTGCCAATAATTTCTGACTGAGTTGTTAAAAGAAGAACTCCATCTATGAGATATTCGGACTTATTGGATTCAGAATGTAATCTGAAATTGCCTGAGGGTTTGAATTGGTGGCAGAAAGTACAGATTGAATCAAGGTACACTAAAGATAAAGTGATTGGCTTTTATGAGGAATGGTTAGAAATAGATACGCTAATGCTTGCAGGTGATCAGAAATTGGTAAAGAAAATGTATGTATTACTGCTGGACTATAAAACGTTTGATGAAACTGTTAAAAATGTTATTTTGTTGTGGGCACAGAATGTGGGTCATGCTATTCAGTTGGATCAATGGTCTAAACTATGGGGGGAAATATTAAAATCACAAAATCCATTGCATACAAAGAAAACATTTATAAGATGTTTTACAGATGGTATATAGCTCCCGAAAAGTTAGCTAAATTTGACCCAAAATGTTCTGATAAATGTTGGAAATGTGAGAACAAAACAGGAACATTTTATCATATGTGGTGACTATGCGATAGAGTTAAGAAATATTGGGTGGGGATACATGAAACAGTACAAAAAGTTTTGAATTGTAATGTACCTTTTACTCCTGAAATATTTTTGTTGAACATTTTACACGATAACTTTAAATATGATGACTCTTATCTGTTAATATGCATAACCACCCCAGCCAGAATACTATATGCCAAATATTGGAGGAGCCAGGAGATACCAAGTAAAGAAGAAGTTATTAACAAAATATTAGAAGCAGCAGAGATGGACAAATTAAATTTAACTTTGAAGGACCATACTGAAGAGTCATTTGAAAACACATGGTGGAGATTCAACAAATGGTACAAGAACTATATCTATACTAAGACAGGACAAAGCATATAAACAAAGTGAAGAGAAGAATTAGACTTTAAGAACTTAATTTTTGACTATAACGGTTGCAAAATATTGGTCTACTAGGAGGTGTAACCTTTAAATAACAGATAGTTGGCTTTAAAGTATATATACACATATTGTACTCCGAATTTTATGATAATTGTTGTATGTTTGTGTTATGTCTGTGTTGATGAAAAAATTTTAAAAAATTATTAAAAAAAATTCTGACTGAGATCTGTTGATTTCATACTAACGGGCTGCAAACTGTGGCTGCGGTCACACACACTCAATAATCCGCTTTCAATCCACTTCCAGTGCACTTTCAAGTTGGAGTTTTACTGTGTGAACTGGCAGAATCCAGTTTGAAAGTGGATTGAAAGTGGATTGAAAGTGGATTATTGAGTGTGTGTGATTGCAGCCTGTATTCAGCACAAACACTATTTATGCAGCTCCATCCTGTTAGACTGAGGTGGCAACGAATCAACAGAATACACAACGAAAGGACAAAACACTGCAATATCTTTGAGGAAATGGCTTGGATCTTATCCTCATCCGTGAGCAGAATCCACTTTGCTTTGTGCTGCCAGAGAGTTGGGCTGAAGCGCTGGGGTGGTGCTCCCCCAGGACTGGACATATAAGGAGCAGCCCAGAATGCACACACGCAGGCCTGGTTCCAGCAACACACAAGTGGAGATATAAACAGACCTACAGCAGTTTTGCTTGTGCAGCACAAGCAAAACTTCCTGGACATATAGCAGGGGTCCCCAACGTGGTGCCTGTAGGTGCTAGGGATCCCAGCCCCCACCTTCCGGGAGGGGGATCCCCTGATTTGGAGTGGGCTTCCCCGCTGCCAGTCAGCTAGCTGGCAGGGTGGGGGATCCTGCCCCCAAATGACATTTCTGGGCCACTTCCGGTACCTCCCCTGATGTGATGATGTCATCATGGGAGTGACGTCATCGTGCCAGAAATGTCGCAGGCATGTGTCAAGAGCTAGGTACAGTCACAGTCAGAGTACAGAGTCAGAGTCAATGTCAGTCCAAAGTCAGGGTTCCAGAAGTCAGGCAAGGCGGGGTCATTCAGTCCAAAGGTCCAAAGGTCACTGGAGCAAAGCAGCATCAGGAGCTGTGGTTGCAGAGTTTACCAGGTGGTGACTTATTGCTTCTTGCTTCCACATCAAGCAGTTTCCCTTGACTGGCTTTTACAGGCCTCTGCTGGAAGGTCTTTCTTGCAGCCAACTGCTTGGAAGTAACCCTGCAGCTACTCATCATCAGCAAGCAGCTGGCACTGGGCCAGGAGACATCCATTCTAAGCCTTCGTCTCCAGTGCTCAAAGGGTGTGGGTGAACCTGGAGGGCTGGCAATGACCACCCAGGTTTCATCTGTTGGAATGGGGCTGGAAGGTGCTGTTGGTTCTGCATCAGCTGTTGGCTGTGAACTCTGACAAACCTACAGTTCAACTTCCTGTCTGCTGGCTTCTGCTGATTCAGAGCAGAACTCCTCCTGAGAAGTCCCCTCCTCCTGAGAAGTTCTCTCCTAACTGACCCACAACACCATGTAACAATAAATGGAACTTAATATCTTTGCTTGTGATGGTCTCTTCTGGAAAACAAGGAGGGCAAAATGCACATTAACTCCATGGCTGTCAGTAGCCCTTGGTTGATCCTCTATCCTTCTGTTCTTATTTTACACAGGGCCGCTCACCTGTGTGGTCTTGACTGTCCCACAGAAGTATGTGAACACAACAGTTGGTGGGAATATCACTCTCCTCTCCACATATACAACACAGACGGATTCATCTAACCTGTTTATCCAGTGGAGTTTTTACAGTGCCCAAGACAGAAAATTAAATACGGTAAGAGTGGTATTGTATATGTAAATAAATGTTTGTTGCCTGACAATGCCTGGTTGGGACTCCAAATATTATTCTGAAGGCCATTTAAAATATTCCTAGGTATGTCCAATTGTCAAAAAGAACTCATGATTAAGATTATGAAAATTATTACATTTTTCTCAGGCTGGGCAATTCCCACAATACAGTTCTTCACCAATCAACAGGAAAGTCTTCTCTTAGGCCTGAAGTTAGATAAGCATTTTTCTTGAAAGAAGAAAGACTGTTTTTATGGCACTGCTACCTAAATTATGATAAAATACCGCTAACTTTAACAAATATTTCTTTTCTTTCTTTTTTTAAGCCCCCTGAGGGGATTTTTTATTGATTTATTTTTAACACTACACAAAACTACAACAGAAAAGAGGGAAGGGGAAACTACACATAAGGGGGAAAGTAAAGTACCCACTACTGTCTAAAAACCCAAGAGAGGAGATCTTCCCTCTAGCTTTGATACATCAAGCCTTTTCAGCATTGAACTTTTTTATAAACTGAGTCTAACATTTAAAATCTTTTACCCTCTAACTTTATGTTTAACTGCCCAATTGCAGTACCCCCAATCATCCCCAAACCCCAGTCTTTTTAAAGGCACCAAACAGAGTCCTTCAGCCTTTATTTCTTCTTTTCTTCCCTCTTTCGTAGCTTGTAGGGACTCTTCGGGGCTGCTGCCTCTTGCTCAGACAAAGAGTCCTCACCAGAAGAGCCCGATTCTAGCTCGCCATTGGATCTGCCATCTTCTTCTTTTTTCCCGTTCTCTGGCCATCCCAGCTGGTCTTTCAAAAATTCTTGAGCTTTCAACACAGAGTCGATCCTTTCTTTCTTCTCCTTGATTTTAAACGTTACGCCTTCTGGAAATAACCATTTATATCCAATTGAGTTTGTTTGGAGAAAGAGCACCAGTTCCTTGTATTTCTTTTTGCGTTGTCGTATTTCAAATGGAATATCCTTCAGTGTTCTCACCGCATTCTCCCCTGCCTTCAGGGGTGTTGCAGCTACTGCTTTCAGGATCGCATCCCTAACATGCCTCTTTGAAAACTTTACTACAATTTCCCCAGGCAGATTATTTTTCTTTATATAAACAGAATATGACCTGAAGGCCACATCCATGTCATTGAGTAATTGTTCCACTTTTAAATCTGCCACTGGGGCAAGTAGTTCGTTCATAGGTTCTTTCACATTTTCTCCTCTATTTTCTGGCACCCCCTGGAAACGCAGGACCATATTGGCTTTATCCATGTGTACTTGCAGCATCTGCTCTTCCAAAGAAAATGTTTTCTTTTCCGATTTTTGCACTTTCTTCTTCCCTTTCTGCATTATTTCCGTCACTTCCTTCACTTTCTCAGCATCTTTTTTCATTTCTTGGATCAAGTCCGTAATTTGCTTTTGTTGTAAAGCAATGCTTTGAGTTACTCCTGTCAGTTGATCTCTGATGTTATTCAACTGCTCCAGCAGAGGGTGCATGCCTTCAGCTACAGCCTTTGCCGTCTCTTTGGCTGCTACTTCCGGCTTTGGGGACTCTAGTTTCGATTTCACCAGTCTTACTTTGTCTTTGTCCCTCTTCCCCGCCATCTTTCCCGTTTATTTACTTTCAGGAAGTTTTTTCAAAGTCTCTGAATGTGCTCTTAGCTGCTTAACTTCGATTGGGTAAGTACTTCTGAGTGATCAATCGTGTTTTCTCTTCTGCTCCCCCCCTTTCTCTCGCTGTTTCAAATGCATGACAGGCGCCCCCCGCCCACTTTTCTCGTCCCGCCGAGTAGAGTAAGGAGCGTCTTTTCTTTCAAAAATCGTTTCAAAATAGACTCACGTTCATTATAGGTCTTCCGACCCCACTTTCTTCAGCATTTTTAACGCTGGATCTCCTGCGCTTGCTCCGATTAGCCTCACTTGCACCTTATCAGTCTCTCAGCTGGAAGAACCACTGGAGCAGAGGGGAGCCTCGATTCTCTGGCATTCCGCCATCGAAGAGGCTACCCCTCAAAGCTCCTTGGACAGGCCCCCTTCGGGCACCTGGGGGGGGTTATGAGCCTGCTCGCCCCCTCCTTCCGCCAGAGCACGGAGACACCCCCGGGAGGTCCGGGAGGTGAGTCCGTGAGCGTGCCGCCATCAACCGGAAGAACCAAAAATACTTCTTTATATTTATATTCTACCTGACCCCTAAGGCTCCAAGCATCTTACCTACACATGTAAACTTGATGTAATGAAAAGAAAGGAAAAGGAACAAAGAAGTATTCATTTCCTCCTAAACATTCCATACATTTTGCCAGATAATCAAGTATACTTTGGGTTGCCACAGGTTAAAGGCACAACATTGTGATTTCTTTTGGGGAAGAAGGAGGAAAAGCTCTTTCCTCTGGTCATGCACAGCTGGAAGAAGGCAGTTCCAAGTAAAAACTGGGAGCAAGAGAGAAGCAAAGTCCCAGCAGCTGTGGGTTCCCTACCCCCCAAAAAACTCATTTTTGGAAAGGTGGAGGACAGACAAGCTCCCAGCAGCAGTTCATCCTCTGGCTGGTGTAAGGGGCAAGGCTATTCTTTCTCTCATCCTTGTAGCCAAATGATAAAGATTGTTCTATATATCACACTTAGGCCCTGTTCACACGGAGCATTTGCCGTGCTAAAGATACGGATGAGAGGCGGATTTTCCAGGTGCGATCACACCGCAACATCTGGGAAGTTTAGTGCACCCGTGGCTAACCCGTGGCTTCGTGCCGAAGATACGGAGTAAAAAACTAGTACTTATGATGTACTAGTTTCCGGAAAACGCAGGGCAAGGGCGGGCATCTGATCGCGTCCCGTCCTAGTCCCATCGCAAACCAGTTAGTTTTTTTTTTTAAGTCTGCAGAGGATGCACACAAATGATCATGCACATGCTCACCTTTTGGTGAGAAAAAAAATTCCCTTTTACCATGGAAGCAGCACCTAGTGATTGCTGGTGTGATCGCGCCGCACTGCTTCTTTGCCGTGCTGCGGGATAGCCGTGTGATTGGCACCTCACGCCCTAACCACGGGACCTCGACGGGACGTGTGATCAGGCAGCCGCGCATTATTTTGTTTCGGGGCATTCAGCCACGCTCCCCCCCTGCATTTTCTGACCCATGTGACCGGGGCCTTAGAGTTGCAAGGCCCAGTCTGGCAACCAGCAGCAGATGGAGGTGGGCAAGGACATGGAGGAGCAGCCATTTGCGACAGCATGATGTCACTTCCAGAAAAAACAGAAGTTATGTCACCCCTCTCTAGGAATCACTGGAAATGCTATGGTGGAACCATAGAGTTTTGGCCAATTCCTAGAGAGGACTGACGTCACTTTTGGGTTTCCCCATACTCCATTGGTCCAATGGCCATTTGTTTTTTCTCTTACTTTGAGCAGCAGGAGGAAACGAGAGGGACAGGATCTCCCACTGGGGGGACTGGTAATCCTAATTCTCCTTTCAAGTTCTTCTCAGTTCTACTGTCAGGATCAGAGCCAAAGAATTCTCTGTGTGATTATTTTGTTTACCTTTTGCAAGTTTTAAGAAACAATTAATTATGTTTAACTGTATGAACCCAAACATCATCACAAAAAATGCCAAAGATCCACTAATATGGAAGTAAACAAGAATCGAGCAACCAAGGGCAGACAGCACCAATGAAAGAGATATTTACATAATTCTAAACTTAAGCAAAATCCAGTTTAATAATTATATTCTTTAGTCTCCCAGTAAAGAATTTCAGTGTCCCCCAAAACAGCCTGTAGTTGACCTGAAAGTTACCTGAAAGTTCAGCAGAGATGGAGTCACCCGCGCAAATACTAAAGTGAAACTCCAGCATGACCTGCTGAATTAGAATTTATATTAAAAGCATTAGTCAAGGAATAAATGATTTATTTCTCATCCATAAGGTTGCTAACTCTTGGTTGGGAAATCCCTGGAGATTGGGGCTCTGGAGCCTGGGGAGGGAGGGAGGGATTTGGGGAGGACGGGACCTCACTGGGGTCTTATGTTGTAGAGTCCGCCTTCCAAAGCAGTCCTTTTCTCCGGTGGAACTGATCTCTGTCATATGGAGATCAGTTCTAATTCCAGGAGGTCTCCAGGCCCCACCTGGAGGCTGGCAACCCTGCTCATCCACTAGAGTGTTTAGCTTGACCTAGAGGAACAGTAGCCCTGTTCACAAGAGGGATCTGGCTATACCATAGAAACTCCCACCCTTTGCCTGCTCTGCCTGCTGCCGTTCGATAGGGCAGCAGGAGAAAAATGTGCAGGCAGACTGTCAGTAGCCAATGGCACTATATCACTTCCAGCGCAAACCTGGATGTGATGTCACCACACTGGTCTGACACTCTAAACCTTATAGTAAAACTTTATGGTAAAACTAGGGTTGCCAGGTCCCTTAGCTTTGCCAGCGGGGAGCTGTGGGGGCATTCCAGGAGGTGGGGGGGCATCATGCGACATCCGCGATGCATTGATGTCACCCCGAAGTGACATCATCACACTGGAAACATTGTGTGGGGATGCTCTGGTATTTGCCCTCACCGCCATAGAGTTTGCCCAAATACCAGAACATCTCCTGCGCGACATTTCTGGCACGATGACGTCACTCCCATGTGACATCATTGTGTCAGGGGTGGTACTTCCCGTTTTACTGGAAGTCGCCCGAAAACGTCATTCGGGGGCGGGATTTCCCCCCGTCAGCCAACTGGCTGGCAGTGGGGAATCCCCCTCCTGGGCCAGGGGCTGGGATCCCTAAATAAAACTTTATGGTACAACCAAAAAGTGCCCCTCCCTCTCCTGCTGGCTGCCGCCCAATGGCTGTGAGGCAGGTGAGGCTGAGAGTGTGCGACTGGCCCAAGGTCCCCAGCCAAGCTTCCATGGCACAAGTGGGAATTCATGCCTGGGTCTCCCAGATACTAGTCTCACAATCTAACCACTATACCACACAATACCATCTGTGTCTGTTACGAACCCTGGCCAGGAGCTCTTAGGTTCGCAGAAGTTCCCCAAAAACTGACACGAGAGATCCGGGTTTTCTTATGAGGAGAGCTTTAATGACCCATCACAGTTCTCAAAGCAGGTGCAGGGCTGAGCAGCAATCAGCTGGCCTTGAGACATGCACACGTGCACAGCGGAACTTAGCCAAACCCTCGAGACAAAGAGCATAACTAGAATTAGGCATCTTATATCCTAAATGCTGGCCGCAGGCCCAAAGAATGATTAATTAAGCCAGGGGTCATTTAGTAGAAAAAGAGGTGTAGGAGCTCATTAGCACAACTTATTTGCATATGCCACACACCCTGACATCACTGGAAGTGTGTCAGAAGGCAACACCCACCGCTCAGGTGCCACTGGACTGTTTTCGATTTCTAGCTGTCCTCGCAGAGGAGGGAGAGCTTGTACCTGAATAAAACTTGGTCTTAAAGGTGCCACTGGACTGTTTTGGACTGGGGGGAGCTCTGCAACTTACCTGGCTGCTTCTTGCTCTGACTGAGGGCTGCTGGGAGCAGGGGGTGGGGCTTGTTGCATGTGCCCACCCCCTGGGCCCTTTACTGCCGGAGCTCCGCTCCTGCGCGCTCCTGCAGGAAATGACCCCTGAATTAAGCTATCCCAAACACTCGGGTGAGCCAGGCCATCCTGCACCTGGCTTCCAGGGGGGGAAGAACCAAGCCAGGCCTTGAAGATCAGCACTATTAACAAGCAAAGTTCCCCTGAGAATGGGACAGTTCCCCTGAGAGCAGCTCATGCTGTCCTCTCCCAAGGGACTCAGGGCAACTGGCAAAGATGGAGTCGCCCGGGGTCAATACAGTGTCCAACAGATGGATTTTGTTAACAGTTTCAAGCTCGCAGGTTTGGTTTCTGTTAACAATATGGAACTTGAGCCCTGCCCTGGATAGCCCAGGCAAGCCTGATCTCGTCAGATATTGGAAGCCAAGCAGGGCTGACCCTGGCAAGTATTTGGATGGGAGACCTCCAAAGAATACCAGGGCCGGGAGGCAGAGGCAGGCTATTTATTTATTTATGGCAGGTATTTATTGCAGAGGTCGCCATGACTTCAAGCACGGGCACGCACATGCACCCAAATGCAAAAATAAATAAATTTTAAAAAATGGAACGTGAGATTTAAAACATGCAAATTGCCATGGGTTTTGTGTGAAAATAAGAAGTCACATTAAACTCTTAGACCAGCACGTTTCTACCCAACTGCAGCAGGCCCTGTGCCAGTATATGGATGAGAAGTCCACCAGGGACTGTCAAAAGATGGTATATGTGGTAGATGCTCGGGGAAGATGTAGCTGGAGACACCAGGTAAGCAGACCTCATCTTCCAAAAGGACAACATTCTGCTTTGCTATCTAGCAGCGCTGTTGGTAGTTTTTCTAGTTCCTAAGCAAGTTTCTGGAGAAAAGTTTCGCAAACTTAACTGTAACCTCAGATTTCAACTCATTTGCTTTATCCCATAATGGGAGCCATAAAAAGAACGAAGCCTGCTCCTATCTACAGAGCTCCACCCTTATACTGGGCAACAGTTCCAGTCATAACAATGGGGCTTCTTATCAGTGACTCAGTTAATAATGCTACATTCACTGGCGTATTTGGTTAATATAGGAGAGTTTTGCCCGGTCACAGAAGTGTGATACCGAATGCCATAAATAATAAATCTCCCAAGAAGTGTATTGCAAGAAAGAGAAACTTACATTTATTCAAGTAGATTCAGTTCACATTCAGATTGCAGTAAAAAAATCTAATCGCCTAATCTAAAGCAGGGCTCTTTTTGTAGAAAAAGCCCAGCAGGAACTCATTAGCATAATAGGCCATACCCAACAGCAGGAACTCATTAGCATATTAGGCCACACCCTGACAGCACAGCTCATTGGCACATTAGGCCACACCCCCATGTTACCAGAAGTGTGCTCATCCAGCCACACCCACCTTTTGCTTCTTATTCTGTTTACCTTGTTTGTTGTCAAAACCCAGGGCCTTTTTCTGTAGCAGGGACTCCTTTGCATGTTAGGCCACACACCCCTAATGTAGCCAATCCTAATGAGTTTCTGCTGTTGGGTGTGGCCTATTATGCTAATGAGTTCCTGCTGGGTGTGCACAACTTGGGAGCCAGCCGGAACTCCGTTCCTGTGCGTTCCTGCCCAAAAATAGCCCTGCTAAAGAGTACTTTCCCCGTTACAAATGCCCAGCATCATGTGAGTGGGAATAGGAGGGCACAGGAGAAACCTGCAGAGACATGTGTCTCCATGGAATGCCATGTGAAGCATAAGAGAGGACAAAGGAAGAGAGGAGGGGTCAGAGGGCAGCTCCCAGATTAAGACAAAGAGAGGCATCACATTCAAGGGGATAACATCTATATACACTTAGAGTGAGGTTGTGCCCCACAGTGTCCAGGCATGCTGAGTTGCTCACTCTAACAACATTGACCCTCTCTTTTCCAAGTGGTGAGAAGGTCAAGGGGCTAGCACTTACAAGGACTGGTTCCTTTTGGAGGCGAGAGCGGTGCAGACTTACGGTGTCCCTGTAGTGTTTGCTCTCTGGGTGCGCTGAGGAGCAATCAAAACAAGGAGGTCTATTAAGAAGTCCCATTTTGTTCAAACGGGCTTACTCCCAGGAAAATATTTTTAGGATTGTGCTGACAGTCACTCAGAGCTGAACAGCCTGATGTGATGACTTGAACCCACAACCCTCAGCGAGTTGGATGAGGTAACCTAAATCATCCAGCCATTCCTCTTTTAGGTTCCCCAAATAACCAATTCTTAGCAAGTCAATTCTATCTTAATTTTTATACCAGGCTTATCTTTGCTGGCCAGATTGGTGTAGTGATTAGGAGTATCGGGAGCCTACTGTAGCAGCTGCTGTGGGCCTCAGTGCAGTGGATGAGGATGCTGCAGCAGAGGAGGTTGGCAGCTGCTGTTCCAGGCACCATGGTGGCAGTGGAGGCTGGTGGCCACTGCTATGGGCCTGGGCGTGGTGGCAGTGAAAGCAGTAGGGTTCCATTGTAGGCGGTGGAGCCTCACCAAGCTCAGCAATGGTGGGGAATATGGGACTCCCCCTCCCTGCAAGTCTCGCAGGCTTGTATTATATAACTGTGATACTCAGGGGTCGTTTCATAGAAAAAGAGCTAGGGAAACTCATTAGCATAACTCATTAGCATATGCCACACCCCCTGACATAACCGGAAGTGTGTCATAAGGCCACACCCCCTGACATCACCGGATGTGTGTCATAAGGCCACACACCCCGCCCCCAACGGTCCCGGTCACCACC